GCTACAGATCAAAACCATTAGCAGGGCAGAGCTGACATAGTAAGGCCAGATAAAAGGCACCGTAGGCCCGTGTCGGGCATCCCTGATTTGAGTCCTATTGCAAGCAGCAGAGCCTGACTGCACCAAAACTTTCTTGAGCCCAAGGGCATCTGCACCGAACCCAACATGGGCAGGGAGATGCTGACACCAAGCCACAAAGAGCAGTCCAGTGGAGATGAGGAAGAAGCGGCAGCCACGAGCCTGGGTTGCTTTCACTCTCCGGATATACCCAGTTGTGAAGATACAAATTGGGACTTCCCCTCTGCCTAGATGGGACCCGCTTGCTGCCAGCCCTGAGGACAAGGAATGGGCGCCATGCCCTGTCCCCAAGGAAGAAGAAACCAAAGGAGCCAAGTGCCTTGTTCTGCCTAGGGAATGGCACTGCTTTAATCCAGTTGCCTGTGTTTGCTGGTCCCAGTAAACGCCATGCTCTGAAAACATCAGTAGGCTCCGAACCCTCAACTGTCCACAAGGACGTTGTGCAGACACAAGCCGTCAGGATGCTCACCAGCCACCGGTCCCTCAGCAGGGCCTAGTCAGCTATTTAGGGACTCCAGAGACACGTAGTAGAAGCTTCAAGGAAATACCGTGAGTTACCTTGTAAGTGATGCTGCCTCCAGGAGGGATAACACCGATCGATCCTAGCCTAGCTGCTTAACATGGTACAAATTACTTATTAATTACAATTGGAGAAACTGGCTTATCTAGAAAGTTTACAGCCCATCTTTTAGAAAACTGAACAGCCTACTCTCTCCTTCTCTTCCTTGGGGCAATATCTTTTCCTCCTTGGCATCTCCTGGAAAAGGCCACCAGTCTTCTGGAGCACAGGCTTCCCCCAACCACCTGTTACAGAGACTTTGTCCACCACTGCTCCAGGTACCCTCTGGGTTCCTCATCCTTACTCCAAATAGCACCTCGGACATACCCCCGGCCCCCATGAAGCAGACAGTCTCTGGCTGAGCTGGAAGAAACCTCTACCCTGTTCTGCAAACAGCTATGGAAAGGCCCCGCGTGCTTCCTCCCTAAGCAGTAAGGTGCTCTCCGACAGCTTTGTATTGCCAAAGCATGTTAAAAGGATTCTCAAGGCTGTAAGGAAGGAAAAGGCTGGGGCAAGTCTGGAAACCTCCCCTCCTGCCCCTCCCCAGCCATTCACAAGGTGGTTGTGTGTCAGTTGCAGCACAATGGACCCAAACTTTATCAGTTAGGAAATAAGGCTGCAGGACGTACAGCTGCTCAGGGACCAACACTGAGCCTCAGACAACCCAACCACCACATCCCCTCTCAGGGTAACTGTGCTGGGCATCACACTGGCTGTGTAAGGACTGCAGAACTTCAATCATTCTTCACAGTAAGCAGCACAAGGACATACAGGGTATTTTTGTGCATCAGTCATTCTTGGAGGATCACTTGTGATCCCATCAGTCACATCCCATTCCTTGAGCATTTCTTCTTTTTGGGTATACGATGTCTCTTCCTTTGTCAGCCAGTTCTACCGCCTTCTCCTGGCTGCATCTCCTCTCTCCTACTCTTGCAAGCAAGACAAACTCCAGGTGCAAAACCGAGGCCTGTCTGCATGCCAGCTCTCCAGGGAGCCCCAGCAAAGACAATCTGAGGGCTATAAATAGATGCCCCTCACTGCAGCCCCCACGGGGCTGGGCAGAGGATCTGTGTGATTTCACAGCTCCAGACCAGGAGTGGAGGCCAGCATTGACCATAGAAACTCTATCAGTTGGAGATTCTCTTATCCTGCAAGGTTAGCCATGACAACAGATGTCTCTATCCCCTCGGGGTCCATTTCTGTTCTTCTTCTGACTTAATAACCAATCTGCCCTCTGTTTTCCCAGGGGAAACAGGGGTTATCTGCTGACAGTTCCTTCCTCTCCTCCCCTACTGAGTCCTATAACATGATCTATTTGTGCAGCTACCTCTTCCCCAAGCCCAGACTGTATTTCAGTGCTCATGGGGCCAAACAAAAGATTCGGCTCAGTCCCTAAGAGCAAGCCAGCCCCAGCTCACCTGACAGAGACAGGGAGAAACCTCCTACCAGCCACAGAAGACTCCTCTGTGACACAAATGGTCGTATGCCCCGGGGTGCTCCTGCAGAAGGAGGGGTCTGACAGCCACCTTCCCCCCCCAACACTTTTCCTATTCTAAGCTAGTCTGGAGTATGCTCACAAACGTGCAGTCAAGACTGCAAGGACTCCTCACTGGAGAGGATGTCCTGAGCCACCTCCTGGGGGCAGGAGCAGCAGCAAGGCACAGGACAACCCTCACCTGGAGCCTGGCTCTGCAGCACTGGGCACTCCCGAGCAGCCTCAGCACTGGTTTGCTTCATTTGGTGTCTGCATCATCCTGGTAGGAAGAGGAGCTCTGGCATGGGAGCTATTAGAGTGGGTGGCAGCAGATGGTGAAAACAGAGGGGATAAGAAAATAAATACAAAGAGGCTATCTTGAGGGGAGAAGTCGCCACATCAACACTCTGTTGCTTACACAGTCTCTTTTCCCAAAGTCTAAACAAACATTGCTCCATTCCCAGTGCACAAGGAAACAGCTCTGCTGAATGCAGGGGACAGGAGCCCGGGCACACGCAGCACTGCGGAGCCCCGAGAGGTGCTGCAGCCCTGTACCCCACTCAGCCCTTTGCATCCCAACCCAGTGTTTTCAGGGGGATCTATCTCACACAGAGCAGGGAAACCAAGGACAAGAAGGGAGCCTGCATGTCCTGCTTCACAGTTACCCACAATTTAGGCCAGTCCGTCTTTCCATTAGCCTATGAGTGGGCACAATACCACCATGTCTGCCCTTTCCACGGACACCAAAACAGAACTGCATGGTGCTAATGGATGGTCTCGCCCGACATCTTCAGAAAAGCAAGTGGGAGTTATTCCCGAGAGAAATGGGGAGAGCCAGTGCTGTGTCTACAGGGACTGCCCAGTGCTGTCTCACAGGAAAACCAGTGTACCTTGTAAGTCACTGCATCACCCAGCAGCACAGCTGCTAATTTGAAGCAAAGCAATCCCTTTCACAGATCTCACATAACTTTGGACATCAGGAGCCCATCTTTTGCTGACTATCACCCCAGGCTATTTGATTAACCCCTAAGTCTGGAGTCTACAGCAGGACCATTTCTGCTTCTCTGGCCACTAGCAGCAGTGGGAAAGGACTTTCCCTCTAATGCTCTTCCTGATAGCAGCCCCAACAGGCCTCCAAGGAATAAAAGCCTAGACTTGGGGAAAACAGGTCCAGCTAAAAGTGGCGAGAGCCTGGCTCACCAGGCTGCCCCATACACACACACGCTGAGGTCAACTCATTGCCAGCCATGTAGTGCTTGTCAAAAACCTCCCACCTGGGCCCGTGGGAGCGCTCCATGAGGTGATATCAGAGGTGAAAGCAGTCTTTAAACATGCAATGTCTGGTTCAGGCAAAGGCAATTTATTATGTTAAGTACATTATTAAAGGATCTAAAGCAACAGAGCAGAGATGTTCCAAGAAAGGTTTTAACTTCCCCAGCAAGGGGCTCCTGGGAGTCCTCTTGTTAATACTTTGCACGGGGTTGTCTGCAACCAAGCCTACGGTGAACATAAATGCCCCCTCAGTCCCCTTTCAGAACTCATTTCAGTTAAATCAATACAGCCATTGGGGAGACTTGAGGAAGCAAAGCTATTAGTGGGACTGCAGCTAATTCTAGGGGAAAGAAACAAGCAACAAAAGCAATAAAACTGATGGATGGCTTATGCAGACACAGTAACCCTTTCCTGTCTGGGTCCTGCAGCACAGCAGCCCATCAGAGGTGAGGATTCTCACTGGAGAAACACTTCTTCCCCAGATTTTGTACAGTCTCTGCTTGGGATCAAAGTACGCCTGGACAGGTGCAGGGCAGAGGGCCATAGCACAGAGGTAGACATGGGGCTGTGAATAGACAATGAGGCTGCTCTGAGGAACGGACAGTGCAATTCCAGGCTAGCGCTATATCATCGGAGCCCCCATCAGCATGCAAGAGCTCAGAAAAGCTCGTTCCCAACCTCCCTTGGCAGCGGGACCTTCAGGGAACAGGGGACCACAGGTGACTCCAGCTTTGGGTGGGAATCGTGGTCCAGCAGCACGCTTTTGCAGCCGAGCAGGAGAGCTCAGAGCAGTGCAGGGACATCACTTCAGCAGCCCCCATGGCACACAGTCACCAGCACCTGAGAGGGGTCATCTTCTAGGCCACAGCAATGCCCCTTGGCAACAATGCACCGAGAAACCACACAGGCACACGTCTCCCTCATCTCACCAAGAAAGCTCATGTCTCTCTTCCCCACACACCTCCCCATTGCTTCTACCTCCTTACATCATGCTAAATGTACACCATAAGCATTGGGAGGGAAGGCAACTACCATGGTTTTGCTTTCTAAAGCATCTTAAACATCTGTGGGTGCTTGGAGAGAAACTCAGCAACAGTAGCTATAACAGCAGTGGTATTAAAAAGCAGTTCAGGAGGCAGCAGAGGCCAGCTGACTGCCCAATGCCCAGACTGGCACACAGAGAAGAGCTTGCCAGCTAACAGCTACATAGGAATTAACTGAGAAGATGTCGAGATAGAGGCTCTGTAGCAAAGCCCACTGACTAAAAAGCAACACGAGTTGAAGATCCTGCAAACTGGTAGTACATCATTTCTGAAAAGGCAATGCCTATAAAGTAGCAGAAATAACTTTAATCATATTTGCTCCATCTACAGGCCTATCAATGTAACATCATAGAAGACCACAGCAGTCAGAGACTTGCACCTCTCATCTCACAAAATATCAAACAAGAAGACATTTGTGAACAGGAACTCAAAATGGGGAAACCAGGAACAGACTGATTCTGGCACTGAACCAGCCTCTCCTCTCAACAGCACCAGACTTATAAAGTCATCTGTGCAGCCTCTCACTTCTAAAGCTACACAGCTGTGGAAAACATCATCTCTCCACCCAACTGACCTCCAAGTCCAGGTCTCAGGCGGTTGTCGTATCCATCCAACAGCCTGTCCAGGATGCGAGTGAAAATGGTGATGTTATCTTTGCTGTCATCGACAACATCTGAAACATGCTTCTGAGAAAGCCTGGCACATGGGGGGAAAAAGAGATAAAAAACATCATCAGAAGAGAAACCTACTCTTTACAAGCTCTGAGCAGTTACTGGAAATGAAGGGAAGTTGGTTCATGCTGGCTGAACATGAGCCAGCAGTGTGCCCAGGTGGCCA